AGTGTCGTGTCACCTGAAATATGTAATGGTCTTTGGGTAGCATGAACGAGAGATTCAGTTGGGATTCAGTTGAGCCTTCTGTTAAAAGCAAATTGATTTTATAATGAATGTATTTGGCGAATATTTCAACTTCCTTCATATTTCATACCATCCGATCTATTTCTCTCCCCTAAGAATATGATTTTCATACAAGATGCAATAAGCGCCGGATATTACTGGAAGTTCAACTGGCTAATCATTTTGTTAAGCTCCATCGAAATTGGCCTTAAGACGTTAATAGTTTATGACGCAACATGACGAATCGGGATTAGGCTATTACGGGAACAATAATCTGGCCTTCTATCGTAGGATTTAGTGAGAACTAACTAGTCCTCTCTATAGTTGAGTCAAAGTTGCGTCGATACGTACACTAGGCACAGATTCCCCCAATGAAACAGTAATCAAACATTCTGAGGTTTCGCTATTCCGTAGCAGTATTTCGTGAGGTCCTTTTGGCCGAATTGTAATTCATGTCAGTTCTTCTGGTTAGGATCGAGTCATTTTTCACAATCTGACTTTCCATAGACGTGGATTGGCAACTAATGTTCTTAGGTTCGACCTTCTGGCTCACTGAACTGAATGAGTAGAGCTTAACCTTTGCCTCTGAACATCTTACGTCTTCGCTTACGTCTACACACAGCTATGCATAAATCTTTAGGCAGCGTTTGGATTTTCCGATTTGGAAAAAACGTAAAATTTATCGGAGAGCCATGAGGCCGAAATTGGCGGGATGACCTCTGAGAGACAGTCATTCCGCCTATCACGAAGGCCAGATTCCTGAAAGCAACCACTGAATGCCCGAAATCTCCTGAGACTCTCAGCTCCGCCAGATGCTGACCAGACAGACAACGCTCCCTCAAAACGCAGCGCGTCACAGGCTTGCATTATACCCAGACAGCGCGGGTCAGCGTCGATCAAGATCAGGCAACGCCCCCGCAATATGCAGCACATCGCAGCCCCGTACCAAAACCAGACCGCGTGCGTCAGCATTGGATCAAGTTAGACAGTGTCCCTCCAACACAGCTTGAGACCGTTGTACTTTCGCACTCGCATGCACTCACGCTCTCGCACTCGTTTGTTCGGAATATGGCTGTTGTGTTCCCTTCTGTGGGTCTTTTTTCCGGTACTAGGCACTGGAGTGGGTCAGTAGTCAGATACAACAGATTGGCAGATATAACATCGCTCAGCGGATATAACATCGCCCATCACTCTACTCTTCTGATTATCAGTCCGAGTGCCGTCTTGTTTGGTTAGAGTCGAATATATATTAAAAGTTGCGTATAGTTTCTTTCGTTTAAAGCGCAAACCGAGATCAGTCAATTAAAGTCGCATACGGATAGATATTCATCCTGCCTAACTGTACAGTTGACGATTTGATTATTAGATCCGAACCTTGACTTGTATATATGGTGAGAGACTTGTCCGTGAGGCGTTTTTAAATGAATTATGTGTTCAATTTGTTTTGAAATAAAATCTGAACAACCCTGCGCAAGCTGTTAACCGCCAAAATTAATGCCAAAGCTGTCATGCTGTTCTACAATCTGAGTAGTCATCATCTTGTAAGTGAAGGTAATCTACGCTGAAAAGCTGACAAACATCTATAAATAGCTCAGAGGAAAAATGACTTTCAATCGATAAGTGCGACTTCCGTCTGAGAAGTTGTTGCTCGAGGAGCCAGTTAATACACGTGACCTCGTGATTTGGATCCCGTGATCAAACGATAAGCGGCGCTCTATCCTGCCTAGATGCGAGTTGGTCACACTGCTGATCAGCCACTCGTGACCAAACGGTTAAGAGTTCCACCTAAAAACCATTGTGACCTTGAGGCCCCCCGGAGTCTTGTGGGATATGCACTGCTGATGTTTAGGATTGAGCGGTTGTAGGATGTAAGGATTGAGCAGTTAGCTGTTCACTGCTTCTCGCCCGCAATGACAGGTCTAAAATTCCTTTAAAATTGTCAAATCTCCTCACACTACTAACAATTAGCAGTCTGGTGTAGTTTTATCCATTCCCTCATCCGCTTCATCTTCTCAATTGCTGTTTCGTTCACAGCACACCGAAGTCCGCCGAAATATGCAACGCGTTCACTGCTTGGTAAACATAAAAAATGCCCTGGAATTCTTAGAATCGAAAAAGGTAAAAACATTTCCAATATGATTCGATTCATTTGTTTCTCATGAAGAATTAATCTTGCGTGTTTTGAATTCCTCAAATGGTGATTGCATCCATTTTATCTGTTCTCATTCATCAGTATAACCAAAGCAGATATGCTGACCAGATATCTGAGTGTTCTTGTCGAGGTGCTTAACTCTGATCGACTTTTTTCATAAAGGAAATTACTCACAAAGGTTGCTGGAAACTCTTCGACAGCCCACGACCGGTTTCGTTCATCTGGGGCTCATCAGGTAGGCGAAGTCCCCGAGTTTCCGTCGACCTTATGTCATGGTTGAACCCAAATTGCATGAAATTAGTGAAATATGCTTATTTGCATAGAATTAGGTCTTGACGGGAGACTCGCCTAGGATCTAGATGAATCTGCCGTTTGTGGTTTTTAAATTCAGTTGTAGAATATCATAAACGAGTTGAGTCTCTTTTGAAAACCAAATTGATTTGCAGATGAGTGTACTGATCGACTTTGTTTGGACACCGGTTTTACTTACTCTAGAGGAAGCGGTTAGGTTTGCTCCGATCTTGAAACGTACATCATCACCATCCGATACAACGTGAAATACGCTTTCTGAATCTACGACATTCGCATAGATAAATGGATTTGACATCACTAAGGTGTGCACATAGTCTTTGCCGTGACGTCGTTCTCTGTAGAGAATTCACGTGGAGGGGACCACTTTCCACAACAAAAAGGCTCTGAACTGATGCCTCAAAGGGTATTTCGGTGGCAAATCTGTCTCCAAAAAATAGTTTCGCGTCGAGCTCTCTAATGCCTCAAAGGGTAGTTCGGTAGCAACCCTCTCTCCAAAAAATAGTTTCGCGTCGAGCTCTTGCTTACGGTTGGTCACATCTCAGGTGGGCGGACAAATCCTGCAACAAATCTTGCACACCTCAACTCAAATTCGCAGTACAATGGCATCAGTCTGTATAAAATCAGGTCACCCTGAGGAGGCGTCGAATTCAACGAAGTTCATGAGCAGAAATCAGTTTGGATAATTCAACATGAAGACGGTTAGTTACAACATCTCGAAAGCATCAGATGAATGAGAAACGAAAAGACTGACAATACACGCCCTTAGTGAAATACACTCATTCGCAAACCAAGATGGTTTTGTGGGGGATGCCCCTGGAACCCATGTGAATTTCCCGTTTATGATGTTTATGTTATCAGCAATGAGAAATCTGCATAAAAGACAGATTCAACTCTGGGTTTCTGGTGAGTCTCTCTAAAAAACCTAATTTGTTTGCTAATTTCGTGCAATTTGGTTTCAAGTAGAACATAATGTTGACGGAAACTCGGGGATTGGGCCTACCTGATGAGCCCCAATATGGGCGAAACCGGTTGTGGGCTGTCGGAGAATTTTCGAGAACTTTTCTTTTAAGATGCACTTTCAGAGACCGATCGTTTAGAGTCACACAGGTTGCAAACCTCTCCTGAGAAACCTCATTCTCGACGAAGTCCTAATGTGACGGCCAAAAGAGTACGCGGCAGTTCACATTTTGTACGAATGGTAGTTCTCGGAATTCGGACTTGGCTTAATGAACACCTCCAGAGAGTGAACAGAATCATGTTCAAGACATTTTTAAGAACTAGTTCAAATTTACCGATAGAAGGTCATGATCTTAATGTAGAGCTGACGTGTGAAATTGTGATCCAAAATCATCGTTTTGGCTAGGCTTTAATGGAAGACCTGACTAACCATCACTACTCCTGTTGATTGTCTAAGTTACTGGAGTAGAAACGTGAATTATGACCTGAAAGTGTGCAATTCTGTTAATATATTTTTTTCCATATGGAATGAATGAGTAGGCAGGATGCACAGGTAGGTGACAGCAGCTAACTTTTCAGGAGAAATTATTGCATCCGACAAAAAATAGCGAATTTTGAACACTACTCGTACGGAATAATTTTATTCCGACCGAATTTTCCAGCTTATCTGACCAACTACTTTAATTTTCGTCGTACTGTGGTTGAGAATGATCAAACCTGACGTTATGCCCAACCAGATACGAGTAGGGTTATCGTGGGTTGCCGCGCTTCATATTAGGAAAATACTTCCATAATATTGTTTTCCTCTAGGGTACGAGTAGGGTTATCGTGGAGAATACTTCCATAATATTGTTTTCCTCTAGGCTGACCGCCCGCTACAGAGTGTGACGCAAAAGCTGCACTCAAGTAGGCCATTCAAAGCAGGTCACGTTGCCTCATGGTCGGTGCACCAACGATGTTACCGTGATTGGTGATGAAACGTTTGCAATCCAACTGCCAAGCTAGACGAACAGAACAACACCCAATCAGTGCACCCGAGCCGCCTAAATTCCACAGCGTTTCCAACACCAGGTTTGTACCTAGTATCAAATGAGCCCGCGCTAGCTCAGTGGTTAAGGCACGAACCTACTGATTGGAAGGTCCGTGGTTCAAACCCAACCCCCTCTTCTCGACTTCTACTGTCTAGATTTGAGCAAGCAAACAGTATCTAAGCCTTAGTGCTTTCTTCCGGTAGCATAATAAGTAGGCACCAAAATGAATGACTGTTTCATTCGTTATTCTTTAAAGTTCAAAGCCAGCAAGTGGATGTACAAGGCCACCTCTTTTATCTCCGTATTGACTCTCAACTAATTATCAGCTTTCTTTTGGGGTGAATGTGACGGTATTCCCCGATTTGGAGGAGTTTTGATCCAGAACCGTCTGAAAAACAGGTAGAACAAACAACTTTTTCATAGCTCTTGGGTGTCTGCCAAGTATGCTGCGGTTTGACACCGTTATCGTGACACGATAATTCCACGACATACAGCTCCAGTATCCGAAACTTTCAGGTGAAGTTGGTGAACATCAACCCATCGGACATTGCAGACGGAAAACCAGCCATCGTATTAGGACTTATATGGAGTATCATCCTCTATTTCCAGGTGAGTGGTGTGACATTGTCCCAGATCATCTTGGCCTCTTTCAACTAACTGCTAGTGGTGGCCGATCAGTAACTGCTAACTACTCTGTCCTTGATAGATTGAAGAACAGGAGGAGCTCTTGATGAGGATACTTGGGCTACCACCCGGACAAGCACGATCCCGAGGTTCTGCAAAGCAAATGCTAAAGAGATGGGTCCAAGACATATGCACGGGGTAAGCCTTTTGGTTAGAAGGAGTTCCATCTTTGAAAAGGAATAATTACGGATTCGCCTCGGCAATAAACTGAAGCACTCCCCTTCTCTCCCTTAGGAGAAGCTACTCCCTGTAGATTCGTGAGAGCTCGGAGGTTGAAGAGTGTAATCCACTGCTTACAAATTTGCTGAAAAGTCTTGGACAACCAACCACTGCGTTTTATCTTCTTGGAAGAACGAGTGATTGGGGCGTTATGAGAAAATTGCTTTGCAAATGAGTATCTTATCACCATTTTTTGAGTGAAATGTCATTTGAATTCGCGTACTTTGATTTCAGGTCGATTATCGTCATTCGAACTCTAAGCGCTTTTTTGAGTAAATGTCATTCGAATTCACTTACTTTGATTTCAGGTCGATTATAGTCATTCGAACTCTAAGCGCTTAAAGTTAGGCTTTCCATGGGCCACGTTGTAGTCAATGTGTTGAGTGCAAATTTTGAAAGTTCAGACACATCTTGCTGGCCAGTGTGTTGATGATCGTCACGTTGATACACCTTTGTATAGTACCTTGGAATCGTGAGTTGTTTGTCTTTGTTCACTGCTCCACGCTTTCATTGTTCCTCGCTCCCCCCCCCCCCGCTGTCACTCTTTGGCGCACAGTCCGCAGTGTCAAAGTGTCCTTCGGTATGCGCCAATGCACACCCTGTTTCAATGGGGATGGATGTTTTTTCCAAATGTTGCTTGAACACTCGCTTCTCTGTGGCCCCAACATGTGCACTCTAAGCTAAAGGCCGTGTGAAATCTTGTTGGAGAATTTCTTGGTTGTTGACACGTAAAAATCAGTCTGAGGAGCCGCCAAACTGAAAGCTTATTATTGTTCATGGTCAAGATCGGTTTTTTTCAACAGCACTTTTTGTAGGAAACGCTTCAGTGTCAGCCCATCCATGAATGTGAACATCCCCGTTCGTACAATACACACACACACACACAAAACGCCCCACCAGTGTCAGAAGATTTCCGCTTCTTCTGTTTCTTTTCATGTTTCGCGTTGGTAATATCCTCGCCTAAATATGACTGCCTTTTTTTCGTGTCGTATTGGAATTCCAAGACGCATTGCCTCGTTTTCTTTGGTCTGTAATTCCATTGACGCGTGGCAAAAACTTAAATGCATATTTAAGTAGTTCACTGCTCATAAGGTTGCTGAAAATTCTTCGACATCCCACAACCGGTTTCGCTCTTTTTTGTGTCTAATCAGGTAGGCGTAGTCCCCGGGTTTCTGTCAACCTTACGTTCTACTTGAGCCAAATTGCACGACATTAGCGAACTACACTCATTTCCAAACTAATTTGGTTTTGTGAGAGACTCATCTGGAACCCAGCTGAATCTCTCGTGTCGTTTGTGGTGTTTCCAGGCAAATGAATGTGCTGCACCAGCCCGCCTCATGTTTCGGTCGGTACGATATTCAGGATATTGCGACACATGTATATATGTAATACACTACTCATAGGGTTGCTGAAAATTCTTCGACAGTCCACAACCTGTTTCACCCTTGTTGGGGCTCATCAGGTAGGTACAGTCCCCAAGGCCCCGTCAACCTTATGCTCCATGTGAGCCCAAATTTGACAGAATTAGCCAAATACTCTCAGTTGCACACGAAGTCCGTTTTGACAGGATACTCAGCTGAACGCAGGTGAATATCTCGATTATTAATATTCAGTTCGGTTTAGTTGGAACATGATGTTGACGGAAACGCGAGGCCTTCACCTAACTGATGAGCCCCGAGAAGGACGAAACCGGTCGTGGACTGTCAAAGAGTTTTCAGCTAGGATTCATTTGAGTCTTCTGTCGAAACCGAATTACCTAGCCAATGAGGGCAAATCATTCATCAGTTTTATATATGCATACAACGGTGTTTACGCTGAGTACCCATCTCCCCCGGGGGCATAGATCCATCCTTGTTCTGGCATCAGAACATGCGGTGCAGTTTCTAACACCAAAGAGACGCATCTCTTCATCCTTTCACATCACTCAACACGTGAACGGTGTAAAAGTGTTCATGACAAATCAAATAACGGCCAAAAGATTCGGCAACACACACGGACGTTCAGAACAGTTTCTTGACGAACCTTGCACTGACCATTGCATTCGACTTTCACTAGAGTTCTACTACCGCGGATGCAGCCACCCGTCAATCGATGTCGACCCACAATAACTGACTGCACCGCTAAACGTCGTTTGCATTTTTCAAGCTTCTATCCAATTGTGCATTACCGCAGATGCAGCCACCGGTCAATCGATGTCCACCCACAATAACTGACTGCACCGCTAAACGTCGTTTGCATTTTTCAAGCTTCTATCCAATTGTGCATGGACGAACCTACATCAAGTGCCTCGTACTTTATTTTTTTTCAGAAAATACGACATAAAAATTAATGACTTTGGTCCGAGTTGGCGGGACGGAATTGCATTCAACGCAATGGTGCACAATATCGATTCGTCTTTGGTTGAGATGGATAAGTTAGAACATCGAACGGCACGAGAAAATTTGGAGCACGCATTTTCACAGGCCGAAGCTCATTTGGGGATACCAAGATTGTTAGACGCGGAAGGTGAGTTCCTACCCTCCAAAATAACACTTCCAAGAAGCTACAACTAGCTGTTTTCAACCGACAAATCAAATAAAGCATGACCCCATAAATAGCAATTACAAAGTTAGGTTGCTCTTCCATCAGACTCATGGGAGCGATCCCATTCTGCACAGATCTGATGGTAAGCGAAGGTTACTCCCGTGAGGGTTTAAAATATTCCCTCCTCACAATATCCTCTCCTTCCAGGCCTACCGTATCTCAAAATAGTACTCAGTCAGATGGTGACATTGTTAACCCTTGAGTCTTGTGTCTGTGTGTGTGTGTGACTAGCTGCATTCGCAGTGTTACAAAACTGCTGAGACTGATGCCATGGTTTTCGAATCTCTTGACAGACGTGGATGTCGATCGACCAGACGAGAAATCTATCATGACCTATGTCGCCCAGTTTTTCAAAGCCTATCCAGAAGGAGGCAAGCGAGAACCAGCGCAAGTAAGTGATGTGACAATTGTCTGCCCTGTTGTGCCACGATTTAACGCCTAATGTAAACACGACTACGCACAAATCTTTGAAGTAGGTTGGATAGCAACCGAAGCAAACCCAGTGTACACATTAATAAAGATTTTGAAGTCATCATATGGGTATAGGGTGGAGGAATCATTGCCTGAATTTTTGCGCCTTTATACTGGGAGTTGGCTTAGACGTGGCTACTGAATACAATGCCCATGTGTTGATATTTTGATATAAAACCATCGTATTGTGCTTTGTGACTTACACGAGTATGCTGCCACCAAGGTGGTTACTGCATAATGCTGAACGAATTGTTCAGGGTTACAGTTGCTGTGACTCTCGATGACAATTCAGAACGCAGCTGAGAAGGTTAGACTCAAACACCAGTCACTCATGAGTAGTCTGTATTCGTGAACAACTTATCGTATAGTAACTCAGCGGCTAAGTCAAACTGTCTATCCTAATTTCTAGGATAGACTTCCTAGCCTTTCGTTTGTACCAACCACAAAATTACGGTGGAATGTTGCGGTTATCTGGCTTTGTTGTACTCCATATCTTAAAACTCAGTGTTATTCAAAACCATGAGACTTTATAAGTCCTCACCCTAATACTGTGAAAGTGTACAAATTTGGAGCTCAGGAGAAGCCCGTCTCAGACGGAACCATGCGCTGATCCCGTTGGCCTCGTGAAACATGCACCTCGCCGAACTTATTCACTAATGCAGATGGGATAAGTCGCGTAGTATCTCCTAATCAACACCTGAGTCGCTTATAAAAGGTCAGTGAGGTCAGTGAGGGCACTTGGTGATGACTTTGAACCATGAGTTCTACCGTACTTCTGTATGTCTCTTAAGAACTCGGTCAACATAGTCAGCAAACATACTGCCGTGTTCCTCACATCCTGTCGCAGTACAGTGCTTTCACTCTCTAAAGTGCGAGAATCCACGGGACGTGCCGAAATTGCACTTCGTTTTTTTGTTTATTAAACAGAGTGATGAATTCAATTAATGACAGAATTTAAAGTACCGTAATTTTACGGAGGAAACATTTTCCATGACGGACTGCTCTTCACTGCCTGGTCTCGGGAGGTGTTCGACAGGCTGCATACTGTTTACTGGACCATACATGACAGAATGTGTTCTAAATCATTGATCCAGAATGATCAGTCGTAAAAAAGCAGTCAGCCATGCAATTCATTCTAAGAGTGACTCATCCAATAGATGCAACGATCGGCCAGTGCCCAAATTTCAAAGTTCACTCTCAAGTGGTATACGGGGTTTCAGTACGAGTTTCGAACTCAGTCTGACTACTCACGAGCCTCCAGAATTGTTTCCAGCTATTTGCGCCACTTGAGGGGATCTAAAGTTATAAAGTCACTCAGGCAAAGTATTCGATGGATTACCAGGACAGAGTACTTTTTCTCAAAGGTTTACGCTGTGAATCTACCAAGTCCATGGCTTGACAGTTTTCAGATCATCCTTGAAAGCACAGAAATCTCGAGAACCATTCTAACTACTCGCAAGTAGCCAAATATTAACAGGTGACGCCACAGGTGACGCAGGTACACAGAAGCTGCTCTGTCCTTCCCAATCCGGATGGAAATATCATCTTTTGCCAGACCCATGGGACTGATACAGCTGCCCAGGTAAATAAATTTGTCTACTACCTCAATTGGTTCATCCGCAAGCGTGAAGCTAGGGTTCGAGTAGACCAAGCAGAAACCAGACGGATAAGACTACCACTACTGTGTCTTTCAGATCGGCTGTATTTAGATTGTCCCCGTTGTCCATGAAAAGGCCCTTACTTTCCGAATCTCATTGAGCACTACTAAAAAAGGGGGGTTGGTGTGGGCTCGACTAAAATGCAGCAAGTCTTGTATCAACCGAAAGATCATAAGAATTAGAGGGATCCAAGTAGGTGAGTAGGCACCAAGATATTTTTACATACTCCTGTGGAATTATCCTGAACTACCTCTTTCGTAGGATCGGATGACTTATGTATCAGGTCAACGGTTTTGGAACCTTACTTTTAAGTGACCCTTGTTTTCATCCGGCATTTTGTCGCTTCTCAGAACATTCGACGAACTTCAGCATTACTGACCCGGTGTTCACACCAGATTCGGGCAATGCTCCAAAGACATCGATGGTCAAATACTGAAGGTTTTTTTGACGTCCTCGGTAAGCAGCGGCCAGGTTTCTGATCCATATTGTAATATGGAGCGCAGCGTTGCATCGTAAACTCGATCCTTGACAGATAAGATGATGTCACGCCTGCGCCACAGGTGACGCAGGTACACAAAGGCTGCTCTGTCCTTTCCAATCCGGATGGAAATATCATCTTTTGCCAGACCACCGGGACTGATGCAGCTGCTCAGATAAATAAATTTGTATGCTACCTCAATCGGTTCATCCGCAAGCGTGAAGCTAGGGTTCGAGTAGGCCAAGCAGAAACCAGACGGATAAGACTACCACTATTGTGTCTTTCGGATCGGCTGTATTTAGATTATCCCCGTTGTCCATGAAAAGGCCCTTACTTTCCGAATCTCATTGAGCACTACTAAAAAAGGGGGGTTGGTGTGGGCTCGACTAAAATGCAGCAAGTCTTGTATCAACCGAAAGATCATAAGAATTAGAGAGATCCAAGTAAGTGAGTGGGCACCAAGACATTTTTACATACTCCTGTGGAATGATCCTGAACTACCTCTTTCGTAGGATCGGATGACTTATGTATCAGGTCAACGGTTTTGGAACCTTACTTTTAAGTGACCCTTGTTTTCATCCGGCATTTTGTCGCTTCTCAGAATATAGATGGCTTAAATGGCCTAGCTTTCAGTATTCTACTACACACGAGGCAAATTTTCCAATTCGGTGATATTATCGACCGATCGGATGTTCTATAACTCTTCCAACGAAACCTGAGCAATTAGTTTTTGAAGGTATTGTCCATTCAATGACACTATTTTGAGGATAGCATTACCTGTAGCAAGTTTTATATGCGGCGGCAGGTGTTCACAGGCTGCACATTCTGGCCAAAGTTGTGTCACGAGTAATCACAGTGAGATCTTTTACTTACTTTGTATGGTTACTTGGATGTGATGACTGATGGAGGCTGTGAACCAGCTTAACATCACCCATTCGCAAAATCTGTCTACCGTCCTGTGATGAACATACAGAGTTTTCAAGGAGTAGGCCTGCGGCTCACACGAAACTGTAGGAACTGGAAGATAACTAAGTCTAGTTGAATTGGACAGGTGATGATATTTCAAAGAACAACCTACCTGCGTAAATTTCGCGCTCCCAGTTGTTCATTCTAGAGAGGGATTCATTACAGGGAGGGAGGTTACCTTCTATGTTTTATTGCCCAACTTTTTACTACACATCTATTTTGTCGCAGGTCCCCATCTCACCATCCCTTCCTCAAAACATCAGCCAACTCCTGTCAAGAATCAGACAGACGGAAGAAAAGGTAAACAAATTTAGTGAAGATCACAGCCTACCTTTGGAAAAACACATCTCGGTGAGTCTTGTTCGTACATTGGGTGTGGTCTGGTTTCAAATTCTACGAGATTCAGGTTACATATTCTGCGACACTTTTGCCAAACTCTAAAGGTGTCGCAACCGACATTCTATCAAAGGATTCGGGAGCTGGCTGGTCACAAATACCAGAGCGACTTTATGTTGCGCTGTGATAGACTATGTCGCCCAATATGTCCCACTGTTTTCATTTTATAAGCGAACGTTGCTGTGACCCGATAAAAACAGGATGCATGGGTAAACAAGTGTTTGGTATGTATGAAGTGAGCGATACCACGAATCCGGCCTTGCTAACAGGCGGAAAATTGCCCAAATGACAGGTCATCCGCGGACAGTGGGAGATTTCTTGGTTTGATCAGATATCGACCTTGTAAAAGAAGAGAACGCGACACAAGCGAAGTGAGAGTTCGCGGGGAGGTGTTGGCGCGTGCCCTCTTCCAGACCGTCCTTGTCACTGGTCGATACCGATGATGTTTTCAAAATCAGTTTTCATGGTAAATTGTTTCGCTGAATGCTTGGCCGTATAGGCAATACACGATAGGTATGTGAGGCAAGCATCTCACATCCTCTATTCTGATCTGAGAACGACTGCTCAACTGGCGTATGTGAAATTTCGATCGCCATATTAGCCTTGGTAGCGTCGGAAGCAGCGTAAAAGTAGATTACAGGCCCCGTTTCGCAGAGTTTAGGTCACTTTTGTCCACATCCCTACGGGCAGTAGACGGTGGCGTGTGCTGCGATAGACGGACCTTCATGAACGAGAGATTCAGCTGGATTCAGCTGAGTCTCTTGTCAAAATGAGAGTAGCTTCGAAGTCTGTACAAATTAGGCTCAGATAGAACATAAGTTTGACGGAAACTCGGGTACTGCGCCTACCAGATGAGCCCCAAGAAGGGCGAAACCGGTCGTTGGTTGCAGAAGAGTTTTCAGCAACTATGTGAGTGGCGTGTTACGTCTAAAAAACAGGCTGGTTGGACTGGGCATAGAATCGCATCACATTTCACAATTGCTGAAGGCTTGACGCTTGTGGGAATGGATTGAACAGCCCTAAAACTGTGACGAACGCTTGACGGCGGTTCATCGTGCATTGGTCCTGTCTGACAGGATGTTCAGAGTGCTTTGTAAAACTGAGTGAGCAATCACGCCGAAATTCTGATCAGGTAGCGTTCAGCTGTAACACCATTCCGGTGCCTAGCTGCCATGCCACCTGAAGGGAGCACGACAACGGCTGGAATACTGCGAGGTTGCCCAAGCCTAGAGAGTGAAAGTCGAGAGGCGGAGGTCGGATCCGAACCACGGACCTTCCGGTCAGTAAATTCGGGCTCTAACAACTTGGGCCATCGGGTAGCACAACAAAACGTTTCCACTGCAACATGCCAGTTGCAGAATGCGTACAAAGCAATACGCACCTGTCGATAAATGTACTACCATTGTGCTTATCCATGCGAACAGGTAAGTACAATGACTAGTTGACAAAACTGACGTTAGGGTTTTGATTGACAGAAATGGCATAGCCCTTATGTATGCCCTAATGTGCTATGGTATCAATATGGTGCAGGACCAAATCTAAGGTCATTCTAAGCTGACTAAGAACGTGATCTGTAGTGTAGCGGGTCTCTAGGTGAATGGACTTTTTCTGTACTGTGACTGGCTACTGTGTATTGATTATTCTGAGGTGCTTTTTGTGAGTGTCGGGATAGTTGTCTGTGTGCTGCGGTCACACGTGCTGACTGGTTCCTCGAGTGAAGTCACGTGATGCATATCCCGTGATCGGAGGATGAGTCAGCGATGTCCTGTGCGAGCTAATCGCACTACTGTTCAACCACTCGCGACTGAACGGATAAGTCTGGAAACTATTAAAGTTCTATGTGCTGCAATCACACGTGCTGACATTCGTTACTTTCCCCAAAGTTCGGAAGTTAATTGTTCAATTTGGAATGTTCCATCCAGCAAATCAACACGGAGATCGATCATTAGAATACTGTGTATAATTTCAGGACTCTGGAGAAAGTTTTTTACCCAGTATTTGAAATACTACCTGAAAAGCTCCTGGATTAACATTCCAGTTAGAATGACCAAATATGTCATCTGATCGAATTGAATCTAGTACCGTTTTTCTGTGAAGGACACTCATTTCCATGGTAAAAGACATCTTGCAGCGAACGAAAATTGGTAACGTGGTTTAGATTGAGCGTAATGGCAAGAGAGTTGTATAGTGGAGCCATTGGTAAGTTTCTTCGTCAGTAATTTCTCCAATCTATGTTGAAAAGCTGAGAAGCACTGTACAGCTGTTTTATCTCTGCTGAGTATCATTGTGCATTGTGCATCTCACAAAAATCCAGAGAGTCTCGAACCTACAACCTTCTGGCCAGTTGTTTGGTCGAGAGTGCCTGTTCAAGAGTGTGATTAGTCCCTCACCCTTCGATAACGGAAACCACATCGCGTAATCACGTATTCATCGCGCCATCGAATGACGACTTCTAAACTTCATAGGTCCTGAAATTTCATCAAGTCACATCTTCCGTTTCATATTATTGACAGAGCCCACCAGTAGTCACGAACTGCTGATTATCGTGAGCTGGACTTTAGTAATTCATATACAGATTGTGTTTTGACGATGGAATCTACCTACATACTTGGAGCGCGACAAATTGTGGGATTTGAGATGCAGTTCAAGGCAGATAAGGAATGAATTAAACGACCTGTTTTGTTTGCCCAATCATAATTGACTACCTCTTGGACAGACCGTTTCTCGTCTTCCCACGTGTGTGGATTATACTTTGTTTTGTTAATGTGGTTTGGAATGGGGTTTGGAATGTGTAATTCGCGTGCACATCAACCACTTGCCCTTAATGTCTCCTCTGTTGTGCTTCATTCAACCTTTCAGGCATATCAGGATACTTTGAATGAAATGACTACCTATGAGGAATGTCTCGATGAATTTCAAGCTACAGGTGAACCCGTCTCCAGTGAGTTGCAAATAGCGCTGGAGGCGAAGCAAGGTCTTGACGATGCTGCGGATATCTGGCGATGGCATATTGACTCTCTTGTTCCGGGTGAACTTGGCAAAATAGCCGACTGGGTTGCGAAAGCTGAACAGTGGATGAAAACAACGTCTAAATCGTGGTATCAGGCACACAAAGGTCAAAAACTAGTGGGAATGTGGGGAAAACCCAGAGAATCCTGGAGGCCTGGCAGTGCCGATCCACCGAATTCCCCACCCTCGCTGGATCAAATCGAGAAACTCATCAAGCAGGGATCTGTAAGTCTTCTGGAATTTTCAGATTAAAGTAGTTGTCACTGTGTAGCCCAGTGACAAGCTATCGAAGATGTTTTCAGCAAACTAAGGAGTAGTGTATTATGTCAACAGAGCTCAGATTGATGTCTGATGTATCGCATCAACTGAAACATGAGGCGAACTTTATGCAGGACAGTTAGTTGAAGAAAAATATCGCAAAAAAAACAACAGATTCGCCCAGAGGTCCTGGTAAAACCAGCATAGTTTACAAACGACGGTATAAATTCAGACAACTTTCCGCTTGTCAACGTTGATTTCTGTGACAGATTCATTTTACTCTCAGCTGTGAATCGGTTTTCGCGTCTCAGTAGTAGACGAAATGTGATTGCTTTTCAGGAACACTTTGGGCTCAAGAACCACCGTGCAATTCAGATGCGTGATAATATAAGCAAGCTGATCAATACGCCCTCATTGACTACTGAAGGGAGTCATGCCCTGTCAGCTGAATTGGCAATGCAGATAGGCCGACGCGTTTCAGAGGCGATAGCCAAGGAACCCGGATACACTGCCGTGTTGAACGCGGCACGTGCTCGAAGAAATTTCTTGGACCTACTGTACGCCAATGCCATCGTGGAGTCCCCGTCGAAGATCAGCATACGTAGTCGCCGAAGGACATCTGTAGCTGGATTTGAACGACGTTTCGCTGCTTGGGACTCTGTATTCGAAGGACTGTCTGAAGAGGAAGACGTGAATATGCTGAAAGAAATGCTTGTGGATTACGAGGTAACTCGATATTTTCAGTTCTGTAGTCCGATTTTTTAACCTGCCATTTTATGTCATCATCATCATCATCACCGACAGTATGGCATCAGTGTTCAACACAGATACTTCACTGCCGTACAACCATGACTTATTTGAAAGCCTTATTGTAAAGAAAAGAGCAAAGGTGGACGGGAAAGGGACTTAGTGCTAGCTTATTACAATCATTCCGATGTGCCTACACCTCCAAGACATTCACTCAGGCAATCTGGATAGAAACTGACAACAAGAACGCCACTGTCATCGGTTGGCAGCCATAACTTGTAGTGTCTCCAGCCAGACACACTGATGAACACGCGGTACCCACCCTGGAAGGTGAGCAGCACCGACAGCACCCAAGCGTTTCGTGATCTCCTTCGTATTCCTCTGCTAAGTCAAGGGTTGGCCACCTCTCTGTTTACGCACTCTGAGTTGGGCATGGAAAACAGCACTCTCTTCGGCAAACGATCTTTCGGCGTACGTAACACATGTCCCAACCAACGAAGCTTCTGCTGCTGGACACATTCTTCAATGGAGGTACCCGTTACACAACCGAAAACACGCTTTCTAACTGCCTCATTACGGATTCACCGACACCAATCCACATGAGATATGGATCTGAGACAACGATTGTCGAACACCCGAAGACGTCTCAGGTCCGCTGCTCGAATAGGCCAAGTCTCACAGCTATAGAACAAAACAGCCCGTACTGCAGCTTGATACACACGTCCCTTCAGATTCAGGGATAAACCATTCTGACACCATAGGTGTCTCAAGTTAGCAAACGCGGCCCGAGCCTTGCAGATTCGTGCATTCACCTCATCTGTCACACTACAATCAGAAATAATACAACTTCCAAGATACGTAAAACGCCCCACAACTTCCAGTACCTCTCCCTGGATCGTAAGTGGCGTGTTCAGTGACTGCACGTCCACAAGCATGAACTTACACTTTGTGGGCGCAAACTGCATACCAATGGACGGGATGATTTTGTTCAGTTACTTCCAAGAATACTTGTGTCGATCCGCCTCTTCGAACATGAGAACGATGTCGTCTGCATATTCCAGATCGACAAAATTTTCTTCACAGGCTATTTGAACACCATGATTTTAGAGACTCTCCAGCGTTTGTCTCACTATTTCAGCGAGCAAGAAGTCAAAAAGGAATGGAGACAGTGGGCATCTCTGACAGAGACCACTTTGTGTACGGCCAACCGAGACGTATGCTCGGTTGCGTATAGCACCGTTCTTAATTTACGCTCAAAAGTGAAGCACAACATATTGAGAACGTTGAAGTACATGGTGAAACAGTTATAATTGTATGGAATATGCAAGAAAAGATAGCGGTTCCCCATGGCAGTTGGAATCCATCGGAGGGCAAAAACCGTGTTTAGCGTACGCGGGTTCATTTAGGAGGCTAAAACGTCTTCATTTCACGGCCATTCTAGCACTGGTTGGTTAGCAAAATCGATTCAAAATCAATCAATCTGAAGTGTGTGGCTGCTGGATCTGAGTACTTATCAAGTGCAATCATGTGTACATGTGCCTCATTCAATCTTGCCTACATATAATGCAATGCTAACAGAAAATCAATTAATAATACGAAGGAAACTGCGCATGCTGCACGTGCGAATCGTTTGCCTATACAACTGGACAGAGTGATCCGACCACAGGTAGATCTGTTCGGTACAAACCCGGGGTTGTAATACTTTGGTACTCTGCCTGGTCACCTCAGTTTGTAGAACATTGTACCGACTTGAACTTGACTGTTGAATACGATCACTGCAACGCGATCGTGTTAAGATCAATTAACGGCTACCTATGGAACTTGGGAGTCCATCAAAGAACTAAATACTTTCGGTTTACACCGGATTCGAAGAGGCCGGCTCGCAAAAGTACGTGCTTGTATTGGCACAAAAATGCACCCATATCTGGGGGTTTAGCTGCTATCGCCATTCTAACCAGCATTGGATGGCAGCCCAACGAACTTACGAACTCCTACACTGGTGCGCTGCGCAAATTACTTGTTGGAGCCAAGCGCAGATCCAACCAGAGGACTATTGGAGCCAGACGAACATGCATCTAGCCAGAAGACGGTTTGTTGCGAACACCCGGGCTTGCATCCAGCCCGAGGATGATTGGTTGAGATCGTCTAAGCCTGTGACCATCCCATTCGCTCGCATACTTCTTTTTGTACGGTTCCACATCCGTTCTGAACGGTTGAAAGGCAACAAAAATATGTCCACTGTGCGTCTAGAGCATCCTTCTTTGGTGTTACCTCCTCAGAATAGTTGCACCAGGACAAGTGAGGACGGTTCAAACGCGAAATTACTGTATCGATCGGTCACTACGATCCATTGCCTACTCTCCGGTGTCTCACAATGCTGAGCTGTCAATCGTTAGCCTATAGAGTTAGCTACAAACATCGTCTGCCTTCAAAGGACGACGAAATTCACAGAGGTTTCTCATCTGTGTCGTTTAACTGCAAAGAAGTACATTCTAACTACAGTTCAGTTCAGATGACTAGGTGGTATAGCTTTTTCAAGAGAGAAATGACAGTGATGGGGCGGAAAAAACCAATAAAGTCTGGTAAGTCAGCATACTGCTCCACAACGGAGAAGGTATCTTATTATATTACACTGTACGAGAGTGGGGTGTTAGGTCATTTATCGTGGTAAATTCCCACCCAAAAACGAGTATAATGTAAGTTGTTTTTTCATGTCAAAACAGTCGACGCCGGTTCCACGGACTAAAGCATCAGGATTTCTGAGGTACTCAACACATCATAGGGATCAACAAGTTCCATGCAGTATCAACCAGATATTCCAACAACGCTAGATACTTTTGACGTTGTTTTCACCATGGTATTTCTGATCCGCGAATCTCTTTCTACCTACCCGTTGGCTTATTGCATATGCTCGTGTTGGGTGTAATTCGTAACGTGGCCCGACTTTGACGGTCCGTGTCATAAACTAACTGTCGCACACACAGGAAATTCACCCAAAAATCTATCCATATCGTTTCTCTCTGTTCAGACGGACAATCGGTAGGCATCTGTTTAGAACACTTTCCACATCGTACTAAATTTCCACTTATGATCGCAACCGCGTCCACAATGCTTGGCATGTGGCTTTAGGACTTCTTGCATGCCCGTTTCAACACGTTTCTTAGCTGGAATGCAGTCGAATGGTCATCGACACAAATGTGATATACAGGGGGTCTCATAATAGACGCAAAAATAATATTCACGTCGAAACTTTAACGCCAATTTAAACGTTCATTATTTTTTATATGAACATACATGCATTATGGAAGTTTACTGTAAATAAACTAACATTACAAACGATGTTGAAAAAACAAAAGATGTTGAAAAAAACCGACCTTTTTTCTAAAATAAGTTGGAGGCGGTGTGAAATGTGAGACACAGCGTCACTCGTGCAAACTTCTCCTTAATTCTTGCTCTTAACTCCACCAAATTCTTCGGTTTATTTTCATGATATACGCGAGCCTTAATCACTCCACAAAATCAATAATCCAGAGGTGTGAGATCGGGTGACCTTGTGGGCCAAAAGTTTGGAAATCCACGAGCGATGACTCTCTCATGAGAAAATTGCTCTCGGAGGTAAGTTCTCGCTTGGTTTGAGTAGTGGGGTGGAGCCCCATCCTGGTAAAAGACGACCGATGACTTCTTGTGCGTCTCATAATACGATGCACGCTGGCGCGGGGGATGCGGGCCAACCGAGAAGAAAACGTGGCCCCAGAGTAAAGGGACGCAGGATACACGTTGAGGAGAAACTCATCCACACACAGAGATGAGGGCAATGGAGATTATGGGTGAGGTACTTGTGAGGAGCTTCACGGTACCATATCACACAATTGTGCTTGTTGATTATGCCGTCCACAGAAAAATTTGCTTCATCGCTCCATAAAATGTTGGGAACGATTTCTTCATTGTCCAGCAGCCAGTTAGTGAACGTGACACGTTGCTCCTTGTCTTCTTCTGTGATATTTTGTAAAATTTAGTGAAATGATACGGTTAGAGATGAAGGTGGCGCCTCATAATACAATGCACGCTGGCGCGGGGAATGCCGGTCAACTGAGACACCTGAGTTATTGACGAAGATGCCATGGTGCTCTGGGACTGAAGTTGCTCGACGGCATTCTGTACAATGGGCGCTCTTTCATTACTCAGAGACTTTCTGATTTTGCCAGAAAAATCCGATACAGATCCAGTGGACTCAAAGTTCGTAATCAAGCGTGTATTGGTCGACACGGTGATCTTTGATGAGACCGTTTTTGGTTTTGTAACCACGAGTACGGCGGTGGCGCTTTCACCAAGGGAATAGTAGAGTTTCACAATTTCAGTTCGCGTACTGATATCTATCGTGAACGAAAAATGCCAACAGTTGCATACAAATCCTCCTTTATGTGGCTACTAACAATGAGAAATTTTGTCATCCTTCCTCTGATTGGCTACGTTTACTTATCCAATCAAATTTTTTGTCTATTATGAGGCACCCTGTACTTGTTGTACAAAATGGATTCGAGGATGACATTTGTTGAAGTAACATGTAAAAGGAGGCATTTCAACCTATTTCGAACGGAACTCAGATGTTGATTGGACCGATCAGCATTCGCTGTTATACGGTGCATTGACGTCACTGCGTGTGGCAACCTAACGCAAATGAATTCATTCCACTATCTTTAAAAAGTAGCTCTTTGGCTGTTTTTTTGGTCTCTTTTAGATTAGCATTTTTCTACATATCCTGTTGATGAAATCCAACACCAGATATGGAACGCCTCCCCCAGGAAGGTAGTTCACTTCGCATTTCGTCTTGAAGTTGTGATCACTTTCGCAAGTCACTTAGGTTAGCACATAGTCAACTCGTTCGGGGGGTTTGAGTGAGTTTGATTACCGTTTAGTGTCCACCATTTGATGAACTTACAAACGGTTAGAACTGCCTGTTGCTAGTTTTGTTTGTGTGTAAGTATACGTAAATAGGAAATAGTTTGTATTGCAACCATCAGGAACAGACGTGTTGTTACTACTGATGGGGGGCATGCGAGTAGTATGTTTTCCTCTTGTAAATTCGCTTTTCGTCTCTTGAAAAGAGAGATCTGTTGCGGAATTCGTGGAGTCGCTTCGTGGCATTTGCTTGGATTTGAGCAACAGTCACTGAATGTCAAGGAAATTTCAGGAAGACGCATTTACAGAGAAGATGGATGTTCAGTTTTTGTAAACAAGATGCATATGAGAGTTTTGCTTCCCTGTCCAATAGTCTGTAACTGTTCAGTTGGTATTGACTAATAAGTAAATTCGCAGCAAAGGCCTTCTTCTTTTCACTAGTAGGAATCTTTTTGTGCCCGAATCAGAAGAAATAGGCAGTTTCCTGTCCACCTGACACAAGAGTAACACGCACAATAATTTTATGGCTTCTGCTATGCCTTACACTAACTTACACAACCTGGGTGTTTGTTGTTGAATGTATCCTCTATTGCTGTTTACNCCGAATCAGAAGAAATAGGCAGTTTCCTGTCCACCTGACACAAGAGTAACACGCACAATAATTTTATGGCTTCTGCTATGCCTTACACTAACTTACACAACCTGGGTGTTTAGTGTTGAATGTATTCTCTATTGCTGTTTACCCATTATTCAACTTTCAGCTGAGTGGGCTGGCTGGTTGCTGTGCTACTTTGACAATCTGGTCAGAATGCTATTTTCATCACTTCTTAATGTGAGTGACCAGTTAACCGAGCAACCGAGCTATCAAATTTTGACTAAGGAACGAAGACGCTGCTCATTTCATTTTCTATGAGGTTCACAACATGGACGTGGCAAGCCACACACCGATTTGTTCGAAACTTGTTTATAGCATCGAAAAGAACTAGTGCTTGCAGTTTTCCGTTTTTGCCTTTTTATTGACTATGAGTACACACATTTAACACTGCCCCACCAGAATTGTCTAACGATAGAAAACATCCCCACGAAGTTGGACAGTTCGATAGAGGAGCTGAACAAACACAACGGTTTCCTTGTACGACTGTCAAATGTTGACGAAAAGTTGCCACCAGAAAATTCATTGGTCATCGTTCCGGAATGGATAAAACATTGTGAATCCAAGTGGAATTCAGAAAAGGCCAAACGTCTGGAAGAACTTGGCACAGAGATGAAACGTCGAATAGATGCATGGGAAGCGATTGAGGCAAACATTGAAAAGATCGAGGTAAGTCATATTGATTTCTCTTGGGCCGAAGTCTCATAATGTACTCTGTCTCTTTGGAAATGTCCAATGGAAGTGTAAAACTAACGTCCAGATAACAGAAGGAGAACCAAACCCGAAAACTACACCGCGTTCTCGACTGCGATAACCTCAGGCAGTTGTAATATTCAGGACCTGTCCTAAAGTAGACGGATCTCTTTGGTTTCCATCTGATATATATCGGTCTGGTTGTTACTGTGAGCCTGTTTTGTGTATTGAAGTTTCCCCATATCGTGACCTAGATTTCAACCCCTGAAAAATGTTTTTGCTCCTATCTCATCGAAATTAGCGAGATACACTATTCGCCAACTCCTTTACAAACTGAGTTGATTTTAACGGGAGATCCAAGTGTGTGGTATGCCCGGCTGAAGAACATAAAAAACGGGGATTCACATGGAACTGTTGAAAACAAACAGGATAGTGTTTAAGATCTAGTCGGGCGATCACCGTTTTGACTCCCTACTGATTCCTAACAAGGATGGAACAGTTGTGGAATGGTTATCGGACTTCCAACATCGATTGGCTCCAATTATCGGACGAAATCACACCCACCTTGAGATAGAGCATATCATTCCGAAATCATGTAATTGAAATGGCGTGATCACATAGTACGTGACCCTTCGAGTGAACAATTTTTGAATGGGTGTTGCGTGCAGCATGCGAGTTTTCCCATCCGAGCAGACTACTTACAATTTCGGCAGTAGTGTGGGGTAATCATTGAATTTCTCAAATAAGGAGCTCATCCTACAAAGGCTCACATGCTACTGGGTCTGGATATTCTAGCTGATCGGTAAGCAAAAGCTGCGTCCGCGATGCACACACTAACAATTAACTTGACCGGGCCAACAAGACTAGCTCTGGAACCGCACACGTATCTACTGGTCACGTTGTCGAGATATCCAGTTAGGAGGTAGGAATTACATTAAGGCACGCAGCTTTTATTACAAATTGCTCCCTTAACAATGGTTAGAAGAGTGGGTAGTGTAAGGAGATTTTCAAACGCGGTTCCTTCCTTTCCGCGAAGTTTATCCGTGCCGAGAGACAGAGAGATTTATGTAGCTGTTGCATCTTCATTGGGAACCATAAGTAATGCGCGCCTTACCAGACTGCAGGGTGATTCGAAACCACGACATCCCGGCTAACAGTTTGAGCACTTGACCGTTTGATCACGGGCAGCCGACTATCATGGAGATCAACTCGCAATTGGATAAGATATAGCACCAGTCACCCTTCAATCACGTAAACCCCGATAAATGAAACTCCATCTGAGAAGTCATCCCTCGAGCAGCTATTCAACACGTGACCAAATGATATGGATTCTGTGGTTGGACGAAGAATGTGTCTATATCCTGTCCAAATGCGACGAATCGCACTGCTGATCGGTCACTTGTGGCGAACGGTTAATCGTTCAGTTTGGTGGCCTGGAGGTCGATGTTTCGAGACCTCTCATTGGAGTTTCGTAAGATGTGTACTGTTGATGATTTCCAGTAAGGATGAAATAACTGACGGGTGTCTCGGCTTTTCCGCATAGCCTGGCTTGACGTCCTGGAGCGGAAATCTACTAATGATTAGAACAGTGTCTGGAAATTTCCTGAAAATCACCAACTTTGTGTTGGACAATTCGTCAGCTCTGGATTCGCTCCTCTAACCAAAGTTAGAGGCTGAATGCTGAAGGGTATCAGTGATCAGTCCGCTGTAAAACGCATTTCACAGGAATAGAGAGAGGTTGGTCTTAAATTATTCCGTTTTTCCGGTTTCATTTAAGTTTTCAGACAAAACCGCATCCACCTGCTAATGAGAGTAGTTGAACAGTTCAGTCCAGTTTGAGCTCACGTGGAATATAAGTTTGACGGAACAGTGGAGACTGCGACTAAATGATGAGCCCAAATAGGGA